TGTTTTTATTACCCAACATTGATCTAGAACATTTGTGCTCTTTGTGGGTCCACATAAACGCTTTTCCCCTTGTTCTTTTGTAGTTTGTCCAATATGACCAAATTTCGCACGATTCATGTGTTGGACTTTGAATTAGCAAGGTAGCTTTGAGAATAATTCGGAGTGTGTGTAAAACTGTTTATTTTTAAGCTATTACACTGATTAAAGCTGTATTTTAAATGCTCAAAGTCGCATCATTTTTTGGGAAAAGTTTAGAGAAGAAATTCTGTTTCGAAATGTCATTTAGAGATTTAGATTGTCAGTTGATTGGTTGTTGGTTTTGTTGGTTTTATTAACCAAAATTAATCTAGAACACTGTGCACAAAATGACGCGACTTTGAGCATTTAAATGTGCGAAATGTGAAATGTAAAATTTCTTCTCTATTTCATTGAATGTTTTTCAGTTTCTCTGTGGGTCCACATAAAGGCGTTTCTCTTGTTCTTTTGTAGTTTGTCATTCTTGTTAAACATTTAATATCTTAGAATGGAAAGAAAAGCATGGAAAAGAACGTAGAATGGAAAAAAATAACGAAAAATGAGCGTGCTGGACAAGCGTGCTGGACAAGCGTGCTGGACAAGCGTGCTGGACAAGCGTGCTGGACAAGCGTGCTGGACAAGCGTGCTGGACAAGCGTGCTGGACAAGCGTGCTGGACAAGCGTGCTGGACAAGCACTCAGCCACCGATGAACGGCTTGTTTTGAAAAAAGTTGGCTCAAAAGGAGAAGCTCAAAGCTTTTATGCTAGTTTGGCGGTGTTTACGCGCCATTTGGCAGCTAATTTTTACATCATTGGAATCAGCGTAAAATTCTGCGTCGAATCGTCTATATATCATTGGAAAAGGGATTCAATTAGAGTGTGTTGATCTCGGACAAATAATTATTTGGATAATTTTGAGCAAATAATTCTTTATCCAAATAATTGTTGGATAATGACATTCTAAAATGCACAATCTTTTTGTTTGCTTATTTAAACGTGAACATAATTATTTTACAACCACTTTGGCGTAGGCTAATTTCCGCAATTTTTTTTTGCGCAAAAGGGTCATTTGCGCAACTGGGTCCTTTTGCGCAACTCGCCATAACTTTCTTCTAAGTGGGTCAATCTTTATGATTTTGGTTTCATTTTGTAGATCTCAATAAGTGCAACAAAATGAAACGAAAATCATAAAGATTGACCCACTTAGAAGAAAGTTATGGCGAGTTGCGCAAAAGGACCCAGTTGCGCAAAAAAAATTGCGGAAATTAGCCTACCCCCTTTTCTTTTATTATTTTTGAAAGTTTTACTTCTTTTTTTTCTATCCTTATCGGAATTTTATAGTTTTCAACAAATATTTATTTTTAAAAACAACAAACAAGGGAATTTTTAGGAAACACATTAAACCTAGCAACACATTAAACGTTACATGCGATTAGATAAGAAAATTTGCATTTATTTGCCGCAATGACGCTTTAGAATTTCATTATCCAGGAGCAACACACTCTAGACCCAATCATCCTTCCCTTGTTAGTTCTTTATCAAACAACATTTATTTTTAGATTAACTCTGCACTACGAGCAACTACGAGCAACAGAAATCAGTAACAATATGTGGAAAAACATCAAGTGGATAACGAGGACAGTTTTTTTTCTGTAAAGTTTCAAACTTTTAAAAAGTTACCGAAGTTAATTGCTTTTTTAAAAAAGAAGAAAGAAACGTAATTGCTAAAAAGGAAAAGTCAAAAGAAATTGAACTCGGACGTTTAAGACAAGATTTGGCGCAAATTTGGCGCAAGGTGGAAAAATTGGCGCAACTTGGGACAATTTGGCTCAAATTTGGCGCAAAGTGGCAACCTCCATAAATTTGAACGAAGCTTTTCGAATAAAAATTTGCATTTGAAATTTTGAATGTAGAATTTGTCTACGGTGGCTCTTTTTGAGCATTTTAGGAAACCCATTAAACGTAGCAACACATGAAACGCAGAGGATGCATTCAACTGACTTCGAAACTCAAATAACTTTTAATTTTCAGACAGCTTTAGTATTGAAAGCAATTTAGCAATGACTTTCTTCTTGCAGACAAATTTGTGCAAAACTTTTCTAACAATAAACTAATAACATTTGGGAAAATGTCGTTGAAAAGAAAAGAAAAGAAAAACCCAAATGAACACAAAAACTTGATTCATAATCAAAAAAGGAACCGAGGGAACAGGTTTGAGCAAAGCTCGCACGTTTCAAATCAAATCAACAACATTTTGCCGAAGGGATTTGTGGAGAGTGTGGAGAATTTTTAAAGAAATATTTTAAACTTCAAGTTGACTAAGTTACTTAGTTACTAACTAACTGACTAACTGACTAAGTTACTTGGTTACTAAGTAACTGACTAAGTTATAGTTACTAATTAACGGCTAAGTTACTTAGTTACTAACTAACTGACTAATTGACTAAGTTACTTAGTTACTAATTAACTGACTAAGTTACTTAGTTACTAACTAACTGACTAAGTTACTTAGTTACTAATTAACTGGCTAACTGACTAAGTTACTTAGTTACTAACTAACTGACTAACTGACTAAGTTACTTGGTTACTAAGTAACTGACTAAGTTACTTAGTTACTAATTAACTGACTAAGTTACTTAGTTACTAACTAACTGACTAAGTTACTAAGTAATTCTGAAACGAAAAGCGAAACGGATGTGTTCTCAAAAACTTTCTCTCAAACAAAAAACCCTCGCACTTGACCAGAATCTCTGCTCAAAAAGAAGTGAGATTTGGGCGAATTACCCAAAAACACTTCACACGAGATTTGCTATTCAAAAAGAAACACTTTTTTTTGGGGGATTGAGGATCGTACTTTTAAAATCTCTCTTTTCTCTCGGTTTGGGAAAGATTTTTGGGATTATTTTGATCGTTTGCTTGCAAAATAACAAACTCGTAAATGTTTTATTGATACAAATAAAGTTAGTTTGATTGATTGATTTTTGATGTTTTTGGTTGATTAGAAAAAGAAAAAACAAGACAGACACTACAAATGTAAACTACAAACGCAAACGCTTTTAACTTGCTTCAAATCTGCCTGATTCACATGAGCTATAGCTCAAAAAATAGAGAAACTCAAGAGCTTTCGAATGGACTAAAGGATAGCAAAAATATGAATGCTAAAGGAAGTTACACTAAAGTTTTGAGGAGAAGATTATCCAGTACGAAAAGCACAACTGATTGCAGCTAGCCAGCTTCAGATTCTTGTCGAAATGGAACTTGTTTATTTGATAAAGTACAGAGTGGTCAAAAATCAATGCTCCATCTACGATGTGCTCAATTTTTTGCCACTCAAATGCTGTCATGAATGTAAAAAGCTTATCGTTAGCCTGTTAAATCTAGTAATCTACTTTTTGCCACTGTGGCTCAAAGCCTGACTCGATCGCTTCGACTACGTGCGAGTACGGTCCGTTTCGAGCCGTCTACCAATGCCTAATGCCAATGCCTAGCCTGCACTAAACCCAGAAGCGTTTTAGCTTAACTGAAATTAGTTCAGAATGTCACACAAAATGAATGCCACACAAAAAGTTTTATTGGGACGTAAAAATGTTTAAACATTAGACAAAAAGACATTGAAATTGCCGAATTGAGAAAAAAAAACTAAAATAATATTTCTCCAGACTGTCAACTTGTCTAAAATATTCGTTTCTTTTATGGGTTTTTTGTGAAATAAATGAAGGTCAAAGCTTTGCAATTTGCAGCTTTCCGGTAAAGATAAATGAAAAGCGTTCATTCATTTGGAAGGCGAAGAACTTCTTTGATAGATAGGATATTTTCTCAAGATATCTTCTTGAGAAGTTTATCGCTTTTTTTTCTGGTGATTAAACGATCAGTGTACTTCCCGGTTGCGATCTTTTTTCCAAAACAATTCAAAAAAAGAGGCAAAATTTGTTTTATTGGGTTGTTGAATTGAAAACTGCGGGACTTTGAACTAAAATTTATTCAATATAAAACTATGAATTCATTCCAAATAGTTTCCATTATTATTGACGACTTCTGCCCATTTTACACGCAATTTGCGGATTCCTCTTTCGTAGTAGGATTTTGGTTTGTGCGTGAGACAAGTGTGAGACTCAAAAATGGAGGACTGGAGATGTCCGATTAGAGAGAGTTTGAGCACTTTCTTCAAAAGAAACCCATTTTGGTGTCAATAGAAAAGTTGTAGAGAATCAAAAATTAGGCTTATAGCCAAATTTTCAGAACGATTCAAAAACTGGTTTTCAAGAAACGCCCAAATTTACGAATTTTCACAAATGAAATGACGGAAAAGGAGGGGGAGGGGGGTTACGGTATCTGTCTGTCTTTCTGTCTGTCTTTCTGTCTGCCTTACTGTACGGGCATTTTTCTAGCCGTATTTTGACCTATATTTCATTTTTCATTTTGGTTTTCAAGTTTGAGCACTTTCTTCAAAAGAAACCCATTTTGGTGTCAATAGAAAAGTTGTAGAGAATCAAAAATTAGGCTTATAGCCAAATTTCCAAAAAGATACCCTTAGTACTTTCGCTTAAAATGAAAGTTTTGTAAAAATTCGTAAATTTGGCATTTCTTGAAAACGAGTTTTTGAATCATTCTGAAAATTAGGATATAAGCTTGATTTTTGATTCTCTACAACTTTTCCATTGACACCAAAATGGGTTTCTTTTGAAGAAAGTGCTCAAACTGTCACATATGACAATAGCCCGCAGTTTTCAATTCACCAACCCAATAGGATGAAGATATTTTCTGGAGAAGTTTATCGCTTTTTTGTCTGCTGATTAAACGATCAGTGTACTTCCCGGTTGCGATCTTTTTTCCAAAACAATTCAAAAAAAAAGAGGCAAAATTTGTTTTAATAAGTAAGAAAGGTAATAAAAACAAGTAAAAAACAGAAAAATAGTTTTTTTTCAAATTTCTAATATTTATTTAATATTTATTATCAAATTTCTGTACAATTTCTGTATTATTTAGGTTTTATTGTTGAAGAGGAAACCCTTGGTGTTCATTGGAATTGGCTCAACTTCTTCGGAGCTGAAAGTAACTTTGATAGGTTAGGGTAGACTTTAAAAGACTTAAAAAGGTGCAACGTTTTAGAAAAATGCATTTTTCAAAAAGAAAAACTCTACTTAAAATCCTTATCTTTACCACTCACTTTTCCCAGAACAAATTATTCGCGTAGACATTCATTTTTGGATGATAGAGCACTGGATCGGCGACTTCGTTCTCGGAGACTTCTGTTTCACTGAAAATTTACCCAAAATAAATAAGACTTTAGGCTTTATTCGTCTAGAAACTATTGAAACTATTGAAACTATTGAAACTATTGAAATAGCAATTGGCTAATCAATTTGAGCTCATCATTTTGCAGCATTTTGCAGCAGTTTTCGATTCATTTTCCTAATGATAATACCGTAAAAAGTTTAATAGAAGAGCCTTTTGGAAGAGGGTTGAAAAATAGAAGAATCTCTCCATTACAGGATCCGTAAAAAGTTCCCGAAATCCAATCGCGCATGCTTTTTTTAGGCAATCTTCTAGTTTGCTGATCAGCTAACTTTGTTTTTGCGGTTTATTTTATTATTTTCTTTCTTAACATAACTATTTAGATGGCTCGTGAGGAATCTTCGGCCGGCCATTGAGCGTCTATCAAAGTCCAGAGTAGCACCGTTAGCCGAACAACTCGCCATCCCAAGGAGCGCCGTTTACAATTGCCTGAAGAGGATCAAGCTTTCCGGTGCGGCAAACGATCGCCCACGTTCGGCCAAAAACAGCCACTACTCCAGGAATTGTGAAATGAATCCGAAAAAGCATCCAAAAGAACTCAAGAAGATCGATGCGGTAAATGGCAAAGAAAAGAAAAGGAACTATTCATTCGATTGTTCACAAGAAGCTTCACAAATACACAACAAAAGCTTCACAAAGTTCCAAAAAGATCGGATCTAAATTTGACTTCTCTGCAACGTGCCCTTGAGAAAGCCTGGGCCGAACTCGATCCCGATCACGTGCCTCAGTGGAGGCATTCCCCAAGAGACTCAAGGCTTGTATCAAAGAAAAAGAAGATATATTTGAAAGCTGAATGTTGTTTATGTTGGGTTACTTGCCGAGAATAAATTATATAATTGAATGAATTCCATTTTACGCTACCAGCATTCAAAATATCGATTACTGAAACTTTTTTACGCACTCTTCACGCCTTCACGCTCCTTCACGCCCCTTCCCAAGCCGCTTCACAGCGATGATTCAACAATGTTTCAACAATACAATAATTCAACAATGAAAATGCATTTTTGCAATGGTCGATGAGGGAAAAACTAGTTGTTGTCGAACTATTCGCTTAGTTGAATGCCTGGAAAAGTCTTCCAAGGGAGCTGATTGCAAAGTCTTTCAAGCCTTGTGGAATTACAAACAATGTTGGTGGATCTGAGGACGAGCAAATCCACTGTTTTCCGATCAAATCCGATTCCAACTTGACTGTCGAAACTTTTGAGTGTACGAACTGATCAAATCAAACTGAAATGCTTGAGAAAATCGATCTGAATGAGGATGTGAATAATGAATTCATCGACAATTCATCGAAAGCGACGCGAAATCATGACCGAATTCTTTAAATGTTTAAATTTTAATGATTGTTTCATTTCAAACAGTGTTTCCAACATTGTTTCATTTGAAATTTTCTTTTGTTATTCAAGTTTTTAACGTTAACGGTTGCAGTTTTGATTTTAGAATTAAAACAAATCAAACCAAACAAGAAGAAGGTGAAGAAGTCTTCGGTTTTCATGCTTTATTTATTCCTTTAGTTCCCTGCGTTAGTACTTTCTGTACTAAAGTTTAGTACTTTCTGTACTAAACTCGAAACGCACCCTTTCTATTTCACTAATTGCAGATTTTTTACAATAAAATCAAAGTCTATCAAATCATTTTTAAGCAAAGAAATCATCTAAAGTGATTAGTTTCGTAGTGAACACTAAAATGCACTTTAAAATGAAAATTTAGTTTAATTACAATCTTTTCAACTCACGTCTGCCAGTCAAGCTCACACTGAACAAAAATTGAACAAATGATGAGAACAAGAAGAAATATTCTGAGCAACATAGTAAAGAAAGGAGTATTCAAGCCTCAAAAAATGATCTCTTTTCCTTGTTCTGATCTGCTTTTCTTTGCTCATTTCAGGTCAAGGCATTCCACTTTTTTGTCTCGTTTTCGAGTGTGACCTGGTTTTCACTCACCATTTATCCAGGTGATCCCTGCGTTTTTCTTTTCGATTTCTAACCACTTTTCGATCGTGAACAGTGTTTGACAAAAAATGTAAAGACTAGAAAGTTTTGCGATAATTAGTATTTGTACCGCTCTTACTTTCTACCATATAAAATTTATCTACAAAGTGCTTGCTTCATTGTGATATTGACTATCGTATTCTCTCTAATAGTACCCCGGCGAGCCGAGTTGACGACTATTTTACGGTTTCCAAGCTTTTAGCAGAAGCTCAACACTCAAATTCCCCACTAGATCTCATCGTCAGCTATATTTTCCGACCCCACATCGATAGGTTCTGATAAGCGGTTCTCGAGATTTCGAGCAATTTAGGCGACGTTCAGGGTGCACTACTATTAGAGAAAATACGGTAATTGCTGTCTTTCCGAGAATAGAAACGAACAATGGAATTCATTTCGATACCGGTTTAGATTCTAAAGCTAGATGGTTAAGTCATCCAATTGTATTCCCGTCCATTCAAATGTATTCCCGCGTTACGGTAATGGATTTAACGGGTTTCTAATTGCAAATCTTTTACAGATTACGAGGATCGCTACTGGAGTGTGTTCCTCTCAAAGAAACAACTCAGGAATACGCTCTAGTTTCTACAAGAAAAGATAACAAGTTAAAGCGCTTTGATACAAAAACTATGCCGACTACACTGGATATGTTTTTACTGTACTTATTGCTTATCTCCCCGCTCCCAAAAAAAGAAACCCATCGTTTAGCGGACTGAAATTTTCCCCACCTACCTCTTCACCAATGCTCCCCTGGTACAGTTAAATGCTAATTTCGCGCAGATGCTAATTTGATTTCTGTTCCCTGTTTAGATTGTTTTTAAAATAACTAGTTGGAAGATTCGGAGTCACCGTCGACGTCGATTTGCTCGTGGTCGTCGACGAAGACGAAGATGAAGAAGAAGAACAAGAGGAGGAAGAAGAAGAGGAAGAAGAAGAAGAGGAAGAAGAAGAAGAGGAAGAAGAAGAAGAAGGAAGAAGAAGAAGAAGAAGAAGAAGAGGAAGAAGAAGAAGAGGAGGAAGAAGAGGAGGAAGAAGAAGAGGAAGAAGAAGATGAAGAAGACGAAGACAATTGGTGGTCGAGTGAGAGCAGAACACCGAGCTCGAGTGCGGGAGGAGACACCCGGGCACCGGCTTCCATTTGAAGCACCGCATCCTCGATGCTCCCCTGCTGCTCACAGAAATCACCAAATTGTTTCGCTGAAAAATAGAGAATTAGCATAAGTAGTAAAAGTATAGCAAATATAGAAAGTATTTTTATTCAAAAAAAACAATTCTCATCGTTCTATTGGGTTGGGGAGAATGAGTCGGCGCCGAAAATCAAAAAAATGTCTAAAACTTCTAGCAGACTTCGTCAAATAATATACGTTTGATATCAGTAGAATGGTTAAATAATTCTCTACAAAATGACATTTAAAAGAAAATTCAAACAGCGCCTCCGCTCAAGAAAAAGCCATTTTTTCACAAAAACTACAAACTGTCATCTAGAAAAAACCATTGGTGGGATCTTCTTGCAAATTTGGCAACTTAAGTAATTGAATGTGCTCTATCTTTTTTATATAAACACCAAAGAAGGTTTATGTGAAAGAAACTGTTCAAATGATGAGTCGGACTCTTTGCCATTTTAACCAGCTGCGTTTGGAAGTTCATAAACTCCACGAAAGAAAAGCTTTGTGGAATCTCTCAAAAGTCATTTTGTAGAGAAATAGTGGATCCTTTTGATGAAACCAAACGTATGTTTAAAGAAGGCTTTATGTGTGCAAAAAGTCCCTTTAAAGTTTGGCGCCGACTCATTCTCCACAACCCAATAGTTTTTATGCAAATTTTATTGCTTAATACTCCTTATGAAGAGATTGGCGCCTCACTCAGAAAATTAAAATGTTATATGGAAATTGCTAAATTCAAATTTTTAAGTGGGGGCAGAGATAGCTCATAAGTACCGCTTTTACTTTTTTTTCAAATAAAGCTTTGTAAAGCGAGAGATGCGCTCAAAGTTTAGTCTTTCAAAGCCCACTAAACCTCATCCAAACCACCAGATCATTCCTAAACTCACTCATAACTTAACCTCTGTTTATTTTCTAAATCGTGAACGATCTCATGAAATTATAAATGTAAAATAGGGTTCAAAAGTTTGGACAAACTCCTATTTGAGAAAGTAAAGCTCACCACATCGAAATAAGACAAAAGAAAGTGTTTTCTGACAAAAAATCCTGTAAACAAAGCGCACTATTGGGTTGCCCAGTTATGAATGCGCGTTTTTGACTATTCTGTAAATTTCTCAAGATACCGAAATCAAGAAAAAGATATATATGAGTATTATTCGAAAGCTGAAGATCTCCTCTACATTTTGATATAAAAAGCTTTTGAATTTGTTGAGCTTTTGGGCAAATTGACTGCACAGAAGAAGAGGTGGCCAAAAAATGGAAGGATGCCTTTGGATCAAGTTTTGGCTCCGCTCAAATTGAGTTAACCGTTTGATGTTTGGCTGATAGATATATCAATGCAACTCTTTTTGAAATATAGCAATTTCAGAGCATCTTTACTTTTCTTTTCTTTTCTGGGCGGTTATTTTACACCATAAAACTTGAGGAATAGCTAAGCTGGAATGGGTTTTTTCGAAAACGACCTCTCCCTTTGTGCAGTCAAATTCCCAAAAAGTTGAATGAATTCAAAAACTTTTTTATTCCAAAATGTAGAGGAGATCTTCAGCTTTCGAATAATATATAACACTCATACACATCTATTCGATATCTTGAGAAATTTACAAAATAGTAAAAACGCGCATTCATAACTGGGCAACCCAATAGATGCAAAAAATTATCGAGAATTCAAAAACCGTAGTTATTTGAAATTTTCTCTGACTCAATTTTGAGTAAAATGTGCTTTTTTTCAAATTCTCTATGTTGAATTGTATTTTACATTCATAATTTCATGAAATCTTTCAATTTTAGAAAATAAACAGACGTTAAGTTGTGAGCGAGTTTAGGAATGATCTGGTGGTTAGGATGAGGTTTAGTGGGCTATGAAAGACTCAATTGTTCTTCACAAGGTTCCAAAATGACTATATTCAAACAAAACTTTGGAAGAAATCAAAAAAACCCCGGCATTTTTGGGTCAAGCTTGTCGCGATGACTCATCACTTTTGAGAGCACCGTGAAAAAGAATTCATTTTCGAATTTCAGATAACCAAATCCAAAAAATTTGAAACAAAACTCTTCAGTGAATCGCACGAATTTTTACAAACAAAATGTTTAGTAATCTTTCGATTAACCACGAATTTATACGTATTAGATGAACACAAATCGGTTGAGGTGAAAAAACTGAAATGTGAAACGAAAAAGTGAAACCGATAAGGGAAGTGTATAAAAAGGAGGTGAAGCAATGAAAAAATGACAAGAAGAATACAAAAGTTTCGCTGAGTCTCTTCGAAAAGACCAAAGGATGAACTCAATGGCAAAAATCGGCTTTGACAGGTTAGTGCAAAAATTTGTTGCAACCTAAACAAAATAGGTACCCAGTTTGGCTGGATATTTCCAGGTCTCAAACGATCCGTCATCCCGATCTCCATCGCTTCCTTCTAACTGTCTCCGGCATCGATTCAGTTGATGACGAAAGTAAACACGAATTTGTGCAGGTGGCTTTTAAATCTTAATTCTATTCTTAATTTTATTCTTATCTTAATACATTTATTCATTTATTTATACATTATTATCTTTTTTTGATATTTAGTTTAACCAAAGTGCTAACACATTTTTGTAAGTTTTCAGGGCCTTCCTTTCACTGCAGCTCTCTTTATACTTTCAGTCTGTTTCCATTTTTTGTAGATCTTTCAGAAAAAGTGATACCAAGGTTCTTGGCAATGTCTCTTAAGCTTGAGTCTTGATTGAATGCTGCCACGACTTGTTCTTTGATCTCATCTGATAATTGGAATGTACATCTGATAGATTGGAGCGTAAAAAATTTGAGAATTAGAAAAAATAGTAGGCGGGAAAACTTTTGGACCCGTAAAAAAGCGATACTTATGTAAAAGAGACCTATGGATGCGCAAATCGGCGCGAAAGTACAGTACAAAAGTCTTGCAACATCACTTTTTCAAAAAAATCGATGAAATTTTTTTATAGAAAATGCCACCCGTTCGTAGGGCTTTTTTGTTTTTAATTAGAATAATACATGTACACTTTATTTACAAAAACAAATTTGAAGTTCAGCGTAAAACAAAAAAGTAAATGACAAAACTGCTAAAAAATACCCTAAAAACTGGGTGCAAAAGTCTTGCAACATTCTATGTTTCTCATTTTTATTGTTTTCAAATTTATTAATTTACACTAATTTTTGTTTTTTTCAGATGCCAAATTCTCACTTGACGACTCCCGAAAGAGAAAAAATCATGAAAGCAAGAAAAAAAGGAATATCTCGAGCCGTTGTCTCCGATCTCTTCAAATGCGATCCTTCGACCGTTTCTCGCATTGTTTCAAAAGCAAAAACAACTGGACTTATGCACCGAAGAAAGAAGAAAGGACGGCCAAGAAGAACAACAGCAAAAAGAGGATCGAATACTTGTGATGGCTTCCCAAGAAGGATCCGAACATGACATCGACTGAGGGAGCTCAGCTGATCAAGGATGTTGCAAACAAGGATATCTCTCGATGAACCGTTTCTCGACGATTGACTCAAGCAGAACTGTATAGCCGGAGGGCTGTACGAAAGCCTTTGATGACCGCTGGCCACAGGAAACAACGGCTTCTATTCGCCAGGACGTACCAAAGTTGGACAAAGCAGGATTGGGCCAACGTGATTTTTGTCGATGAAACAAAAGTGGATATC